GGTAATTGGGTGTCATAAGGGCGAGATGTAATTAAGCCTCAAGGCATTTGAGGTGTAAGCCTTGAGAAAAAATAGATATTATCTATAAAAAGTAATAGACATGAAAACAGAAAATTAAGATTTTATGTGGCTTGCTTGATATATTAGACATGGGTTTGAATCCCATTGGTGTAGGGTTTCCCCCCTAAAATCTAAACACTATGCTAACAATACCATATAAATCTAACTGTTCAATTGAACATGGATATGAATCAACATTGTTTTAAGAGCAAGGCATTATTGTTTTATTTTCTTGCACTTGTATGCATCAGTGAAGAGTGACATGTCTGATGCATGTACAATAGAAAGAACAAGTTATCAACTATGGACAACAGAATAAGGGCCCATTTAGCGTGTCTTTTTGGGAAGATCTTCTAGTAGCTCTGACATGTAAAAGATGCATTGAGCTTTTGCATGAAGATCTGAGCAGCCCGAAGCACATTTGGCAGAAGTGCGTCTTTCTGCGTGAAATTAAAATGCAAAAGATGCGAGAAGCTTCATTTGGAGCTTCTTGAAATCAACCCAAAATGGACTTCTTGCATCTTTTCGGCATTCCGTCTTTTGGCGACTAGATCTTCCACGCGCCAAACGAAAATAGACCAAAATCAGTCTTTGCGACTTATAAACATCCAAAAGACCGCATGGAAAGATACGCCAACACAGGCCCTAAGTTATTTATACACACATTTATATGAATTTATTTGTTATTTTTATATTTATTTGTTTATTCGTGCAATATGCCAATACAAAACAAGGCATTAGTCTTAAATTTCTATTTTATCCCATATAAAACTTCATATTCAGCAATGGTGTACGTGTACCAAATACTTGAGGCTTAAGCCTTGGACATTATGGGGCAAAAAACCCAAAGGCATAAGCCGCTAGTGGGGCCTGAAGCTACTAAGGCCAGGCCTTTTCTTCTAGCCTCACCTCAAAAACCTTTTAAAACAATTGATTAGAAAGAATGTAAACATTATAATGCCATATAGAATATGTATTTCATCTATGAGGTGTTTAAATAGTAGAAAGCTCAAAGTATCAATATGTATGTGGTACCATATCAAACGATATTTATCGTTTTTTTTTTCTTTTTCTTTTGGCGAGAGGGCCAATACAGATAATTAAAATTAACATATTTTAAAGTTGTTGCCACTTTTAGGATTTATATTGCGCAAACTCTAAAAAAAATTATTTTAAAATAAAATAGAGATAAAGAGAAACAAGAACAGAGCACACACAGTTTTACGTGATTTAGCTTACAGCAAACATCCACAGGTGAAGGAGCAGGAATCCATTATGGAAAACAACAATGGAAATTAATCAAATTATAGAGTTGTGTATATCCTCTCTCACAGGAACTCTAAACCTCAATACACCCTAACTCTCACTCGATTTTTATCTCAAGCCAAAGATGCATACAAGAGAAAGCTCCCAAACTACACAATACATTGTATTTGGGTTAAACCCATAGTTTGAGTATGAATCAGGTCCATGTTGTCATAGGGTCTCCATTTCCCACACCCCCAATGGTGGTTAATGGTTGGTTATAAGCTTGGGTCTAGGTCTAGCAGCCTAAACCTCATTCTTTTACAACAAACCACTATGAAATTTTACCTTTGAGTTTTTTTTTTCAACTTGATTTAGAATGGGTCACAAACAAAAAATTCAAGGCACGAACACAATAATCTACGCATAGAAGGGAAGAACAACCCATTAGAAATCTATGAATGCAGCAAAATTTCAAACTACATCAACTCATTCTTTAACCTTTGTGTCATTAGTTTAAAGACCAATATAGGGAATTTGGATTAAACCCCACTTTCACCAAGATTTGGGTGCTTTGGTGGTTTCTTAAACAGCATCTTACCACACACCTTATTGCATCATCACTCCCTTTGGGTCTGTGTTTGGGGGTGTGATTTATGAATGCTAACATCAATAATCATATACAGGGTGTTTGCGGTACAATGTCATTGTACCTCACCTACAACAGACCACTATACTATTGGAGGTTTCTAAAATGAGTGATTAGGGGATTGAGGTCTAGAGTGATGGGGTGATGGTTTTAACCCCACCTACAATATAAATGCAAAGTACTTGTTGGAAATAGAGCAATCTGGTCTGACGATCCAAAAGCCCTAACACCAATGATAATATGGGGGTGTTTGGTATGATGGCATTGTGGCATTTTGGATTGATCAACACAAATTTGTGAGAAATATGCACTGTCACATCATATATTAGTGTTATTTTAATTTAAAAATGTGTCAAATTTTAAATAAAAATAGCAATCTGTATGAATCAACTCAAAACGCTTAAATGTTTCAAATAAAAAAAATCTCTTCCACAAATTTATATTGATCAATCTAAAACGCAACCCCATTTTACCAAATAGCTCCATAGTTTAGGTTGTCAGTTGTCAGTTGTCAGTTGTTCTTCCTTTCATACAAGATGTTGGGTCTAATAGGTTCTCGATGTTGTGTAGTGTAAACCCTGGGCCCTTCGCTCATCCATGCTGCCATAATCCCTACAAACTTGTTAACTGTAGGCGAGATTGATCCATCAACTCTGATCCAACTTGATCTTGAACATGGTTATTTGTGTGCAGGGCTCAGTTTATGCGTTCACAAACCAATCCAATGCAAACTTGAACCAATTTGTTCCTCTTACTTTGCTTTGTCAGCTTGTTCTCCATGGATTGTTTATTATAATTAGTATCCTCAAAACCGGTTTGAATTTGATCCATATAGGCCCTGTTTGCTTTTGGATAAGTTACCTATTTGGGCAAGTGTTTCCCATAAAAGACTTATTCGGGTAAGTGTATTTATTCATGTTCTTTTATTTCCCAGGTAAATAGTGCAATGATCACTTTATCTATAAAAATTCACTATTAAAAGGGGCATTTTTGTCCCATTCAAGTGTTAGTGACTTTCCCCATTTGGCAAATTTATTTACCCACCTACGAGATACCCATGAAAATAAACTTTCCTTAATCCCCACACAAATATAAAAGAAGAACATAGGTTTTTTTGGTCAATGGGGATCCCCCCTCTCAAAATCCAAAAAAAAAAGAATGCAGCCTTAGATCATTGGAGGGGGGAATCACAAATCTAAGGTTGTGTGTTCATTATTGTGTAGGCCCATATACATGGGATCACATCTGTTGCAATTGTGCACTCTTTTTATGACCCCTAATTTTGGTATGGTCTTGAGTTGAAGTCTCAATGTTTGTACTTTATCATTCATATCACTGAAAATCCAGACTAGATAGTGTTTTGCATATAATTCTAGCCTCCAGGCATAATCATTTATTGTAGTTCTAAATGCATCAACATTACTAGGCATGACATAAGAGACTAATGGAATGAATGAAGAAACATAAAAACTGTATTTTCCTCTGAAAGGGATTTACACATAATCTGATGTTAATGATTGTACAAATATTTATAGCTTGTTCATTTCTTCTTAACTCTTATCTCTTACAAGGATTTTTATCACTTTAAAAGTAAAATGGGTATTCATTTTCTCTTATCTCTTATTTCTTAAAAATGAATCTTACAACTTTTGTTTTTCAATAATACCCCTAAAACACAAAAAAAAATTATCAGATATGAGATTAGAATGGATATTTGATCATTTTCAGAATTCAGAACAATATTCTTTGCATTTAGAGTTTAGAGGAAATAAAAGTTCACCAATACCAATATACCTCTTAATATAATTATTGTATTTGACGTGTCATGTTATGTCTCGATTTAATGGTTTTATTGCTTTGTCTTTTAGTGAATAAGTCATTAAGAAAGTTGTGCAAACCACTTAATGGCCAAGGTAAAATCTTTATTTAGCCACTTATGCCATTTATAAATAGGCATCAAATTGAAGGCTACTTGTAATTTTTTCTTGCTCAAAAATGAAAACCCTTTCCAGCTTTCCTACTACAGGGCTGTAAACAATATCAGATTGTCTAAGTTTGAATTCTAATTCGATCCCATTAAAGATGATCTGAATTTGATCTATTTATAATTGAATCAAATATGCATAGTTAAGGGTTATATTGTATTTATTAATAAAGTTTGCTTGAATGTTATGTTTTTACTAAATTGGTAGTATCACTCAATTAATTTTTAATTCATTTTGATCATAAAAAACAGAATTTAAAAATTATTTTCATTCAATTCTACGAACAATAATAATATTTTGTTCAATTTTAATTAATTTATTTACTATATTCAATATCCAATTCCAATCTGAATTTGCTTTGAATCTGATATATTTGATAGGATTGTGAATGGGTTGGGTTGGACCCAATGGATCCGAACCGATTGTGTCGACTCTTGGTTCCATTAATTGAAATCGATGAATCAGTTCTAATTCTTGATATATTATATATTGTCCCAATTCTTATTAGGTTAAAATCAGTTTCACCCAATCCCAAATTGATTCAGACCCGATCTGAACTATATATATTAAATGTATAATATTAAATAAATTAATATTATATATAATATTTTTAATAGATTTATTATAATCGAGTTTGTTGAGTCAGATCCGATTGTCTTGAGAATAGATTGGTTCGATTCTAGATCCTTTTAATAATTATTGTCGGATGGCTTCCTATTCTACTCATCCGATCCAACCCGTTGACAGCCCTAAATTGTCTTATCAAAATGATCCGATTCGAATACAAAAGAATCAAATCTGGATCTTACATCCGACTGGATTACGACCGTCCGCCTGCAGCCCTAGCCTGTAGCCCAGTTCTCCCCCCTCTCTCTCTCGGTCTCTCTTAACTCTGGTATGATAGCAGCACTCAAAGCGTAAGTTAGCAACAATGCCTTCGGTGTAAACCCAAACGGGCCAAACCGAAGCCCAATGCGTACATTATCTAAGTATCATATTATGTCGCACATATTGCCTGTTTTCTAGAAAGCACCATACTGTAAACTGATGTACGGGCTTGAATTTATATGGCTTCCATTACATACTATAACAAAGCCAAGTTCAAAACCCCCCGAGAGATATAAAACCCAAAGAAACAAAAAGTACCTCTCTCTCTTTCTCTCTCTCTCTCTTTCTCTCTTTCTCTCTCGATCTGAATCTCTCCGCCATGACTGCAAATTAGCAGGTTTTGAGCTTTTTTTCCCCTATATACGAGGATTTTCCCTCCGTTTTTTCTTTGAAAATGGAGGAAGAAATACTGAAACGGAACACGGACTGCGTGTATTTCTTGGCTTCCCCCCTCACTTGCAAGAAGGTTTGTAGGAGATTAAATGCATAGATTGGGTTATAGCTTCTCCGATGCTCTTATTTCGGTTTCTGTGCTGAAATTTATGCATTTTTTTCTCGGTTTTGATATGTATGTTCGTAACGGTTCTAGTACAATGGTTAGGTTTCTCATCTTTTTCATTGTATTTTTAGAACACTTCATTTCAAGGATCTTGGTTTGCAAGGTTGTATCTTCAAATGATTTTAAGAGTTATCGTTTCTCGACCGAGATTGGATGGAACATGAAGAAATTTGACGTTATCTGTCCTTCAATAGTGTGCAAATTGTGTTCTCGCCTCTTGCTTGGTTTCTCTTTTGATCTGTTCGACATCTTGTTTTTTAGGTTTTTCTTTCAAAACCCTAGAACTAAAATCTCATAAAATTATGTTTTTTTTTTGGTTTTCATTAAATTGGGAATCGGTTTTTCTTCCTCCCTCCTATTGTTACTTTCAGACAATGCACTTTTCCTTGTACATTGAAATCTCTGTGTTTTTTATGTTCTGATATAGCTTTCCCTGAATAAACCGAAACTGATTCTGGAGGTGATTCTGTTACATTTGGTTTCCTGAATGGTTGGCGCTGTATTGAACATATTGGGCTGCTTTCAACAACTCTGCTAGTTGAGGTTTACCTGGTTTGTTTATTTGGTTGCCTGAATATGGTTGTTGTTTTTCTTTCAGGGGGTTGAATGCGAGTACCGCCATAGTGAGAGTGCAAGGCTTAACCCGAGGGATTGCTGGTATTGGTTGAGTGGGAATTGCCTCAACCCAACCTGTGCTTTCCGACATCCAGTGAGTTCTTCATTTTATTCAATCTATAGTTTCTGCTTTATTTTCATTCAGGGCCCCTACTTTGCTTGCTTGAAGCCGGACTTTTTCTATGACTTGTGTAGGAGTTCCATTACACCTTGCTTGGTTTAATTATTTAGTTGACGCGCTTTTGTATTTTCTGTGACTTGAGTGGGAGTCCCATTGCATGAATACCTTGTGCTGGCAAATTGACATGTGGCTTGATGGTTATGCAATTAGCTGAGGCCTATGGGCAAGGACTACAAGTTGCTGCGTGGGTGTTTTTTGAGAAAATCAGGGACTATGGATCAGCCCATCTAAGAGAGGACCTATGTCAGAAACCAGAGTAATCAGATGTCTATGGATCATCTGATTAATGCATCAGTTTCAGATCTTTCAAAGAATTTAATAGAACTTTTGACCACCATCCAAATGTTTGCTTCAAAAGAAAATAATTTAGATAAGATTTTGAGTTAATAATTTGTCCAGTCAATCTTGTAGGTGCAACCCAGTGAATAGTGATCCTGATGGCCCTATGTAGGACAGATGGAGAGTTATGAGGTCCCAGACTTGTTATTGGATCCTTTATCCCGAGATATAGCTTTTATTGATGGTTATTACTTGTGGGAGTCATATTTACTAGTGTAGTTAAGGTGGCCAGGTATCAGCTAGGCATTTTTGCATGGCAAGGTAAGCGAATATATAGTTTGAGGTGTTTTTGGACTGCAAAGAGGAAATCAAGGAGTTTGGACTCACAGACAAGATCTTAGGGAGATTGGCTGCATTGCTAGAGAGGTTGAATCCACATTTTTTTGGGTCAAAAGATCTGCAAATGGCTTGGCAGATTTATTTTGGAAAGCATACGAGGATGAGTAGAAAAGTCATGTTGTCAACTGGAGTCAAATCTGCTCATCACCTGAACAGGGTGGGCTAGGAGCTAAAAGGATTAAAGATTTCAATAAAGCCCTCCTTGGTAAGTGGATTTGGAGGTTAGCTACTGAAAGGGAAAGCTTATGGAAGGGTTGAATAGAGACACTTCAGTTGCAGAGTGCTATGCATTTATGGGGGGAAATGTGGTCTGGACCCCCAAGTTCAAAAGGAATTTCCAAGATTTGGGGTTGCTGCAGCTGCTGAGGGATCAGGTGATTAGAGTAACCAGACTGATCGATGGAGAAGGAGATGGAACAGTGATGGGCAATTCTTAGTTAAATCTTTTGCAAGCAATCTGAGAGGGACAAGACAAGACAACTGTCTTTCCTGAGTAAATTGATCTGGAATTCTAATTCTCGCTCAAGCTTGCTTTGGGCTGCTGTTCTTGGGAAATGCCTCTCCAAGGAGAACCTACTGAGAGGGGTTTGCAGATCCAGAATCTGGACTGTTGCCCATGTGGGCAGGAGGTTGAGGTTGCATTTTCACTGCCTGGTGGCCACAGTGTTATGGAGGCATTTCTTCAGGGTTGCTGACTTAAGTTGGGTAATGCTGGGGTCCTTAAAGGATCTTCTGTTGAACTGGGTCTTTCTGGTGCTGAGTAAGAGAGAGAAGTGCATCAGGAAGTCTGTTCCTGCAGATGTGATTGGAATTATCTGGTCTGAAAGAAGGCTGTTTAGTGACCAGAGTAGTGATATCAATGAGTTATAAGAATTTCAGTGGGTAAACTTGGGTTGCGGATCTTTGTTGTAAAAGAGTTTAAGCACCAGAACATTTATCTGCTGCTNGGGTTGCGGATCTTTGTTGTAAAAGAGTTTAAGCACCAGAACATTTATCTGCTGCTTAACTCAAAAGGCTTGTGAGAAATTTAGTGTTTTTCTATCATTGGGGGGGGGGGTGCTGAGGGATGTTTCTCCTGTGGCTGGTGCTTGTTGTACTGTATTGGTCTGTATTTGTTTAGCAATAAAAATTACTTTACCTTTCTCCTCCTTGGATGGCTGGGTCAAAGTAACACATGCATGCTCAACATTTGAAATTTGGAGAGATCCTTAATTAATCCCAATTTGCAATTCATGTGTGGGGTTTCATAAGTCTCTCTTTTTTACTATTCTTTGAAAATGCACTAACTCATGGTTATCCGCCTTACAAGGTGAAGCAAAAGAGTGGAGCTTCAGAATCTAAAGGGGTGAGAAATAGAAAACTATTAAAACAATAGCAGTTAATATGCTATTTATTTTGAAGGCTAAGTTCTTGCTTTCTGATCAATTTGTGAGGAGAATAAATTATTATATTAGAGTAAAAAAGATGGTATTTAAAATATTATTTACTTGAATGGAAAAAAAAAATCCTAGCTGGTTACCTAAGCAATGCTTTGAGTCTTTGACAATACTAATTTAATGAACTTAATCAACCCGATTTGGTTCAAATTGCTCTTACAAGCTGAAGGGGCTAGAAGAGCTAGGGGCAGACCGAAAAGGACTTCATATTTAAGTTATTAGAGTAAAAAAAGATGGTATTTAAAATATTATTTACTTAAAAGGGAAAAAAATTCCTAGCCGGTCACCTAGGCAATGATTTGAGTCTTTGACTATACTAATTTTGTGAATTTAATGAACCTGATTTGGTTTGAGTTTCTCTTACAAGTTGAAGGGGCTAGAAGAGCAGGGACAGAACGAAAAAGGCTTGGGTAGAACCGTGGAAGTAATAACATATGATTTTAGTGTCTATAATTAAATGATGTATGTGACACTGAACAAAACGGAACGGAGTAAAAGGATTCGTGTGGTTGACCCCATATAGTTGGGACAAGGCTTAAAATGATGATGATTTGGTTCAAGGTAGAAAGGTTTAGCTTGATGTTGATCGAAGGATTGATGGTTAAGATTTAGAAATTGTAGGTGTGAGGATTTTGGAAGGAACACTGACTTATATAGTTATACATTTATAATATAAAATACTATTATAAGCTGGTCAATGTTTTGTGAACTAAATTTTGTTTTGAGAAATACCTATTTATGCTGCCAAATATGAGCCAAAGTTGTTTAGTGGGTCCTATTCAAGCATAAGGATATTGCAAAGATTATCTAAATATTTCCTTTACTGATTGAAGCATGTAATTTAATGGTGTTATTTTATAAGGTATCTTCACAAATATACAGATTGATTATATGAAATATAACAAGATAAAGTGCTTGCTAACACATGTTTGATACTCCAGATTGGGTTAGAAACAGTTTACCCATAAGCCCAAATTTTTGTAGTTATCCCTTGTTTTCTTGAAACCAATTACATAACCATTTTTATTGTTTTAGTTAGTGCTGAAATGCTAAACCAAAGAGACTTGAAAGCAGGTGTTCAGCTTAAAAGAAAACCATTCAGTTGTGGGTTGGCTGACAAAGGGGGAAGGAGTTCAGGCAAACAGATATCTAAAGACATGCCTATCCAAATTAAGCGGATTAGGAGATCTGCAAACAGTTTGGCCGATGGTTTAGCTAAACAAGGAATTCAGAGGCAATCCATGTTTTGGACTGTTTTTGTAATTATTGGGATAGTTTTTGGGCATGTTGCTTCTGCCTACAACATCTTGTTGTATAACTTCTTATTTTAATGAGTTAACTTTGCCTGCACATGCCTAGTGTACTGGTGTAAGATATGTACCTGATATGCCACTGGATACTATGTGGACAATTTTGGAGTATACTTTATAGTATTAACACTTCTGTTATATATGCATTTTAACAAATCATACTATGAAAAATCTGTATATGTTATTAGTTTACTCAAATTTGGCAATATATACATATTGACAAATGATTTATGGCTTCAAAAAACTAGATACAGAGGCATGATAGAAGCATATAAAATGGGATATATCTATGTCCAGGATATGCCAAAATGGAGTCACATCCCTGCTTTCTATATCCGTGTTCATATCTTGGCATCATACAAACTGTTTGGTGAGTTTTCTTATTGTAGAGATTATATATGAATTAACAAAAAAGGAAATTTATAGTTACCCAAGAGAAGTTATGCCTCCATCCTCTGATATTATGCTTCGGCGTCTCTGTTATCTCCAACGAGATGAACTGGTGTCTCATTTGTCTAATTTCTACATGCCTTGCTCTCTTTGTGTTTGTGTGTGTGTGTTTGTTTTATTTTATTTTATTTTATTTTATTTTATCTTTTATCGTTATGCCTTGTTGTCTTTGTTATCTATGCTTGTTCCGGTGGTTGTGTTAAATTCTGGAGAACTTATGGTCCATACTTGCCTCCTGAAAAAAAATAAAGAAGAAAGAGGGAAAGAAAATACCCATTTCTTTCCTCTTCTTTTCAGGTTTCCACAGTTAAAGGTTGATTTGGTTTCTGATTTTGTGATCCCTTCCCTTAATTACTTCTATATCCTTGAAGCTTTTACTCTTTTTTTTTTAAACATATTGGGAACATAGACTTTTATGAAATGACCTCTCTTTCTAATGTCTTGAAGTCTTTTCATTTTCCCCTCTACTTTAGATTCTAAAGTTTATTTTTGGGTCACTTTATAATCATAAGGAGCCATGGATGTGCAGATTCAAATACGGGAAGCAAAAAGAATATCTGGGGAGACGAGGGACAACTTTTATTTGGGCATAGAGATTAGCCAATGCCTTGGCTGATAAGTCATCAAGACAAGAGTGAGCAGAAGCCAACTTTTTTGTGGGGTGGTTAATCAATGGGAAATTCGTAACTTAATTAGCAATACCAATTCTAGAGGGGATCACCAGTTTGTGCTTGGCACTTTCTTATTTTACCATAATCCTATTTCTAACACAGTTAATACAAGCTCAATGTTACCAATAAAAAAATGGGTACATTATCTTTCTTGAAGGCTATCATCTGATTGGTAGGCCATGATACCTGAATACCTGTACAAGGGTGCCATATTGTGGATATTTCAAATTTAATGTAAATTCCATATCTCAAACCATGTCCATATCCATGCTGTATCTTGTTAACATATGTCTTGACAGAATTTCTTCACAACTTTTTTTTGGGGTATTGTTGTGTAAAAAAAAATGGTGAGATGATTTATCATCTTTTCATTCCAAAGATACAAACATTGATCTTAACCCGGTCAGCTATTCTGAACAAGATGCAAACATTGATGATTGGACAACCTTGTTTCTAGAGTGTGTATGGTGAATCATTGATCTTTGTGTGAGAATGATTGAAAGTCGGTTGAACATCTCCTAATTCATTGCCCTTTCTCACACTTCACATGGATTCACTTCATCAAGCTGTTTGGGAAATCCTGGGATCCCTTTGGGATGTTAGCAGCCTTTTTTCAGCATCGCCAGAAGCTAGGTTTCAGCAGAAGAGGAGCTGTAATCAGGAGTTACGCTCCGTTAGCAATCTGTTGGGTGCTGTGAGGAGAAAAGAATAGCCATATTTCAAGGGATATTTCTCTTCCCAGGAATTGAACGGATGACCCGAAGAGTAGAGAGGCATTTGGTCCAACAAGTTTGCCTCAAGAAAGACTTTTTTGGCTTCTCATTTCAGAGCTTTTGTGATCAGTGGAACCAAATTTTTTGGGAAATGATTCTGTTGGTCACACTATATGACTGTATATACTACACATACTGAGATAGTCTTATACTGTATACTTTTGCTGCCCTCTCATCTTGGAGGGGTTTGACTTTGTATTTAGTGGGACTTGTAAAAAAAAAATCTTTGTATTTAGTGGGAATTTCCCCTATTTTTTTCAGTAATACAATATTTACCTTAAAAAAATCTTGTGGTAACACAACTGGGTTCTTTTCCACAGTCCTTGGACCTTCCCAGCAGTGTTGCATGGACTTTTTCTAAATGGATTAAGTATCCATGTTGGATAGGCATTGGGGTCCTTGCTTGCTATTGTTAATGAAATTATATTAACAATCTCTCTCTCTCTCTCCAAAAAAAAATATATTAGCGATCTCTTTTTGAGTAGAAATACTCAATGGCATGCCATTTTCCTAGCTATCAATCAAGAAGGAATTTAGGAAATTCCCATCTTCCTCTCATTTTTCAATAAATATTTTTGTATGTGAATGATATATATAGTATGTTACCTTTGTGGGCTCTTTTTGAATCCTTATCTGTAGTTTATCTTTGTACAAGGGTTGCTGCCTGGTGGTATGTACACAGATGCACTTTTTGATATACTAGCACAATTACATTTATTGTCTTAAGAAAAAAGAGACAAAAGAGAAATCCCAATTAGGATTCATCAATTGGGCATCTGAAATAATTAGGGATGAGTTGTTGACTCTACACCCAGAGCTTTGGGGCTTCTTTGAGGGTGTGACTCCTCAATTTTGATAACTTCTCCATTGGCTACTTGGCATTGTGTTTTGGAGAGATGACGAGGGCATATTATGAATGACCAGCCAGGCCTCATAGTATCATCAATTCCAATAGAGTCACAGTGTTCACCATGATCCTTGAAAGCATCGAGATTTCTAAGGAACTTGCTTTGTGATATATTAATCAAAGATGATTCTAGGAGTGTCAGAATGTTGTGGAAACAGCATCTCATGGTTGGTGTTTGACATTACATTCCATTCTTCGCAAATAGTCCAAATCAGTGCAGCTCTTGTACAGCTCCATAGGTTTCTGCCTCTTTCACTTCATGCTTATCTTTCATAGTTCCAAATTGGTTTTCTTGAACAAATATAGGATGTGCCTCTCTTTGAAGGATCATCTTGCCATTAAAGTGGATCAAAATGTAAAATAAAAGGAAATGTCGCATTACTTCTGGGCTTCATTGTCCAATCTATGCCTCAGGACCTTGTATGATGTTTTACCCTGTTTTGGAAGAGGTGATATTTGGATATTTAAGGCTCACTGATTGCATCATTGCATGCATTGTGCCTCGAGGTTGCTTCTTGAGGTGATTCGTGCGTATTTTTTTGGGTCATGTTTCAAATGCCTTTCCATCAATTCAGATATTTCTCTTTTTCTAATTTGCATCATTATGATTTTAGTTTATCCATCACTTTCTTTCACTTACCAACCCTTTCAGCATGTGTACACTCAGAACCACTTATGACTAACGGTTTTCTTGAGTCCAAAGTCTCCTTGTCTATCTGGATGCATTGATTCCATTTGTTTTAAATGCTTCTAAATTGTCTGCATGAGTAGGGGCTATATTCTTTTGTTTTGACATTTTAGCTAATTGTTATCTTAAATTTTTTATTGATCCAAATATTGCTACTTTCACAGCCTTTGGATGTGCATACTGAAGCTCCATCAGAGAGTTTAACTTTGCCACATCAATCATCTGCACCATTGAGCAAGAACAATGTGCCCTGTTATTTTTACTTCAATGGATTTTGCAATAAAGGTGAAAGGTGTTCTTTCCTACATGGTCGAAATGGTATGTTACCTGCTTGGAAATCCTCAAAGACAGCTTCTGTAGTGAGTGATGCCCATCCCTTGGAAAATAAGACAGTAACAGGAAGTGACATATTGCAAGCACCAATTGAAGCACCTCCTGTCCCATCAGGAACCACCTCAAAGTCGATGGCAAATGTACAGTTTCTGCCTAAAGAAGATCAACAATCAGCCCCTAAAGAATTTCAGCCCAAACAGGTTCTCCAACTGTCAGGCCCTAAGCAGTTTACGCCTAAACAGGTTAACCAACAATCGGTCTCTAAGCAGTTTCAGCCTAAAGAGGATCTCCAACAATCAGCTCCTAATGTTAGTTTGGATCCAAGCTCCTCCCCAGAGACATCGATGCCTGAGTGTGATGAGGCAGCAGCTAAATCAGATTCCCCACCTCCAGCAGAAGATCTGGTTGAAAGCAGATCCCTTCTAGGGCAGGACCAGAGTTCAGAAGAGCATGTAGATGATCGCATTGAACCAGAAGAATGGTGGGAATCATCCCCAGGATTTGATGTACTCGTGGATGATGGATCGGAAAATATGGGCTATGAGGATGAACCAGAGTATTTAATGGCCCATGATAGTGAAGCGAGGGGGCTCCATAATCACTTACTCCAGTATGATTATGAAGATCCATCTGGGTATGATCCTAGTGAATATCAAGAAACTGGAATCCTGTATGAACAGGGGATATATGACTCCTATGATCGTTTAGAGGATGATTATACCTCCTATCATGCTCGAAGAGTTTCTGATCTCTCTAAGGAGAGAATGTTGGACCCTATGTTTTTCCGCAAAAGGAAGATCTTGCCTAGGGAAGTGGGTATGGATGGGCAGCATAGTTTGGATCTACGGGAACACCTGACAAAACACAGGAGAATGGACAGACGCCAAGTGTCTTATAACCCAAGAAGGCGTAACTCATCTCGTCTGAATGATCGCAGACGGGAACGGCCTGAAAGGCATGGTATGAATAGCTTGATGCAAGGGAGATTAGCATCAGAAGTGGGCAAGGATATGATTGGTTTGCGCAATGAGAATGAGATTGGGCCTAGGGACAGCCACCGACGAGGCTGGTTTAGGCAATCACAGTCTAGGTCTACTAACAGGTCCAGGCAGCATGAGAAGGAAAGAAGGCATCCTAGATCAAACTTCCTTCCTTCAGAGATCTCGAGGGAATCAAAGAGATGTACTCAGGATTCTGCTACATTCACAGGACCAAAGACACTTGCACAGATCAAAGAAGAGAAGAGAAAAGCAAGGGGAACTGAGGATGCCTTTGGAATCTCAGGGCAACCAAGCAAGATGACATCAGTAGACTTCCAGGGCCCTAAATCTCTGAGTGAAATTCTGAAGGACAAAAGGAGGGCTCATCTGACGAGTGATGACTATTCTAGCAGCAGTTTGAGGGATTATAACATTGAACATGAAGGGAACCATAATCAGTTAAATGAAGAAGAGAATGACTTTGTAGATGATGACGAGGATGATGAAGATGAAGATGGGTTTGAGAAGAAGATTGCTAGTATATGCTCTTAAAACAACAGATAGTCCATTTTTTTTTTTTTGACCATGGTGCTTCTATTAATTGATGAATATAATGATAGAATTCAGAAGAAAGTCATAACAGCACATTTTGTTATGATTCTTGAGTTCTCTTGCAGGGCCCTTTATCGTCTTGCTTTTAGAGTTTTTAACATACTGTTACTGCTTTGCAATTACCAATCGACATCGCTTCTGTGATTGAACATGCCCAGAGTTACTGTACAAAGTTGCTAATTTCCGTTTGTCATGCTTTTTCTTCTCCTATTTCCAATTTCCAATAGTAATTTGGGCATTTGTACTGATCAGTGATTACACCCCACCCAATGGGGCATTGGGGTGGATTTCCAGATTAACAAAACAATGACCAGGCTACTAAAATTTTAATATTCTTTCAGAATCCTGTGACCCGATCTGACCCGAATACTGTTCAGCAGACTGGAATGATGAGGTTCAATGCCTAAATCTTACCATCGGTTCCACAGCCTGCTAAACAGTCATCGTGTTCAGCCAAACCTTGCTCTATTTTGGGTCACTAGATAGGAGATTCCAATCTGTTTTTTTTTTTTTTAATGCAATTTTTGTCAGGTCCAATTACATGCATCGTTCAAAGTATGGTTGTGTTCAATACTCATATCACAACCTTTTAGTATGGACTCTTCATTTATTCTGGAGTGGTTTTCCAGTTTGAGTTATGTTACAAACAAATACGTAATGGTCACGCTCACACCTATGACCTATGACCTATGACCTATGAACTATCCAAGGAGTAGGTAGATGAGAGGAGATATATTGATCTATCATTTCTCTTCATTTTATTTAATTTTGCACAAGCGGTTCATTATAGGCTCTGTTTGTTTTTTGGTAAGTTACTTATTCGGGTAAATGTAGTTACCTAGGTAAGTTTTTTCTAGGAAATACTTACTCAGGTAAGGGCATTTATCCATGTTCTTTTATTTCTCATGTAAATAAGGCAATAACCATTTTAGCCATAAAAATCCATTATCAAAAAGGGCATTTTTGTCCCATTCAAGTATTGACAATTTTCCCCCTAGGTGGAAAAGTTATTTACCCACTTAGGAGATGCGGGTAAGTGATACCCAGGAAAATTAACTTTCCCTGGTCCCTACATAAATCTTAAAAAAGAACATGGGATTCTTGGTCAATGGAAACCAAAATCCCATTGACCAACTTTCCCCCCTTTCAAAATCCGAAAAAAGAACGCCCCCTTAGGCTTAAACCTCTTTTCTCAATTCTCATGTTTGTCGGAGACTGTTAACAGAACAAGAATCGATTACGGGATTCCTAGGAAGACAAGCTGGCAACTCATAGTTGTAACAACCAAGTGGACACGTGGCCAATTCATTGGGCCCACCTGACCACTTGATCCAAGTCGGCTAAAGCCATGTATATATATATATATATATATATATATATATATATATATATATATATGCGTGTCACATTGAATTTAATTTACAACAACATTTGTATTTCTCTCATTAGCGTCGCCTTATCACATTCCCATTCCTTTGTGCTAGGTTCATCATATTTTCATTTTTTGCGATAAACCCATTTTTACATGGTATCAGAGCCGGTTCTGAACCTTTGTGTTTCATTTTTCCATCTGATTTTCTTGCAATGGATTCAAGCCAAGATTCACCCTATTTTCTGCATAGCTTAGACAACCCAAGAACTTTGTTAGTATCTTGTCCTCTCAATGGGGACAATTACCCAACTTGGTAGTGTGCAATGAGAAATTCTTTGAGAGCCAAGAACAAGTATTGTTCTATTGATGGCTCACTACCAAAACTTGACGTAGGATCGCCACAAGAATCGCTTTGGATCAAATACAATTTGATGGTGATTTCTTGGATTTTCAATTCACTGGCATGTGAACTCCATGATAGTGTTGTCTATGCAAACATAGCTAGTAAGATATGGAAGGATCTTGAGGAGAGGTTCTCGTAGAAGAATGCACCAAGAACCTACCAACTCAAAAAGAACCTTGCAACATTGCAACGAGGAAATCTTTCGGTAGCAGCCTACTTCACCGAATTGAAGGCTCTATGGGACGAGTTTCAAACAGTGTTTCCTATATCTGAATGCACTTGTGGGCCAGCCAAACACTTTATAGCCATGCGAGAAGATGAGAAACTGCATCATCAGTTTCTCATGGGGCTTAATGATGTATTCAACAATGTTAGATCCAACATTCTTGGATCGAATCCTTTGCCCAGCATCAACATAGCATATGCTCTGGCTGTCCAGGAAGAGAAACACCTTGACGTCATCAATACATTAGTCAATACAGATCTTGATGCCAGTGTTGGTCGGGGTACAATACCCAGACTAAGCCCAAAGTGAAATGTGAGCACTACAAGAAACCTGGGCATACACGAGACTGTTGTTTTGAATTTGTCGGGTACCCACCAAACTAGAACAAAGGTAAAACACAAACCTATAGCAAAGAGACAAAATCTGCATTTGCATCAGTCAGTACACAGAATCTTGAAGCCTCTCCTATTTAGGGATTGAGCTTGGAACAATACAATCGGCTCATGACGCTCATAGCAATGGATAACGTCATAGCCAATACCTCTGGTAAGGTTCTTGATAACTCTCCTCATTAATCTCCTTGGATCTTGGATAGCGGAGCTTCAGATCATATGGTTTCTGATATGAAATTCCTTACTGTTTATAAACTGTTGGCCCAACCCAAGCCGGTTCGCTTGCCCAATGGAGTGATTTTGCAGGCTACACATCAAGGGCCAGTTGTACTGACCCCCGTTATCACTCTTCATGAAGTTCTCCATATACCCAGTTTCCACTGTAATCTGATCTCCATTAACAAGTTAACTGATCAATTGCAGTGCACTGGTTCTTTTCTTGCCAATTGCTTGTGTGATTCAGGACATAGTATCGAAGAAAGTGATTGGCATGGGTGAGGCACTGAACGGAATCTATTACTTCACTGTTGAAGATACTCCATGTTACTCTGCTTTGGCTGCTCACAGTGAAGTCACAACTAACATATGGCACAAGTGATTAGGTCATGCATCTCGACATTCCCTTTCTTTAGTTCCTGGCATCCCTGCTCTCCTTGCAAGACTGCCTTGTGATGCTTGTCATCGTGCAAAGCAAGCGTGCATGCCATTCCCTACAAGTAGTTCTCGAGCATCGAGACTATTCCATTTAGTCCATGTTGACATATGGGGTGGTTACTCTACCCCTTTTCATAGTAGCACGAGATACTTTCTTATCATAGTGGATGATTTCTCTCGTAGTACTTGGTTGTATTTGATGCATAGTAAGACTCAAGTTCTTTCCTATTTTTCTCAGTTCTGCAATATGATCAAAACACAATTTCAATGCTCTGTACGGGTCATACAGACGGATAATGGATTCGAATTTTTTTTCACATTTCATGAAGGATTTTTTTTTCACAATAGGGAATTGTTCATCAACATTCTTGCGTTGACACACTGCAACAAAATGGTGTGGTTGAACGCAAGCATAGACACTTACTCGAGATAGCCCAAGTTCTTCGCTTCCAAGCAGGGCTATCTCTTTCCTTTTGGGGAGAATGTGTGACCACGACAGCATATCTGATTAATTATCTCCCAACTCAAGTTCTGGGCGGAAAGACTCCCTTTCAGTTGTTGTTCAATCGACCGCCGTCATATGATCATATTCGCGTATTCGACTGTTTGGTTTATGCTAAAAACCACAGTTGTACACGCGACAAGTTTACTGCTCGAGCAGTCAAAGGGGTATTTGTCAGATACCCATTTGGACAAAAGGCTTACAAAATCCTTGACCTGGATTCTTGACAGATCTTTACATCATGGGATGTCGTCTTCTATGAAGATCATTTCCCATTTATGCTGAATGGGTCAACACATGCCACAAAGCAAAGTTCGGTTATATTGTTACCCACTCCGGAAGACATTGACTGTATTCCACAAAGTGAGCAAACCATTCAGCCCATCCCCACTCAAAATGAACCAGTCCAATCTGACATGGTTTGTCCTAATCAAGACAACTCCGACGTAATTAATTTGACTCAACCTCGCTGTCAACGGAGAGCTCTAACATACTTACAAGACTATGATTGTTAGCTCTCTAAACACTCAACTAGTTTTCTTCACCATGTAGACACTCCAACTGAGCCACACACATACAAACAAGCAGTTCTAGATCCATGGTGGCGACAAGCTATGGAAGATGAACTTGTAGCTTTAAAACAAAATAACACATGGACCTTTGTTGAGCTGCTGTCAGGAAAACGAGCCATCGATACTCGATGGGTGTACAAAATCAAGTATCGAGCTGATGGAATAGTTGAGCGATATAAGGCGAGACTTGTGGCTAAGGGGTACACTCAGGTTGAGGGCTTGGACTTTCATGACACATATGCATCGGTGGCCAAACTAATTATTGTCAGGTGCCTTTTATCAATAGTTGCTAGTCGGGGATGGACCCTTCACCAACTTGATGTTAACAATGTCTTCCTGAATGGAGATCTCCATGAGGAAGCCTACATGGAAATTCCACCGAGACTTTCCCATCATGGTGACAAACAAGTATGTAAGCTAAACAAGTCACTTTATGGTCTGTGGCAAGCCTCGCGACAATGGTTTGAGAATTTTTCAGACGCCCTCAAGTAGTACGGACTTAGTCATTAAATGACTACTCACTTTTCTTCTCATCCCATTCGGGTTCATACATTGCTGTTCTTGTTTATGTTGATGATCTAATCATTACTAGCAATAATCTCAATCAAATTAATGATCTAAAGCAGTATCTGAACAAGTGCTTCCGTCTCAAAGATTTGGGACTGCTCACTTATTTCTTGGGGATTGAAGTTCATCGCTCTTCCTCTGCGATTTTTTTACATCAATGGAAGTACCTACTTGACATACTACATGATGCTAACATGATTGATTGTCGCCCAACATCATTTCCAATGGAACAATAACTACGGTTCGATGAACAGAGTCCCTTACTTTCGGACCCTAGTCGCTTCTGCTGTCTCATTGGCCGACTAGTATACTTAACCATTACGCGACCAGAGTTGTGCTACTTTGTTCACACCCTCAATCAACATATACAACACCCAGTTGAAGCCCACATGTCTGCAACATTATGCATCCTTAGATATCTCTCTGCTTTTCGAGACAAAGGAGTCCTCTTACCTTCATCAAATGATTTTAGTGTTCGAGCCTATTGTAATACTGACTGGGGTAGTTGCCCAATCTCCCGGTGTTCAACAATAGGGTATGTGATTTTTGTCGGCGATTCACTTGTTTCCTAGAAGACGAAAAAACAGAACACTGTAACCCGCTCATCTGCTGAAGTAGAATATCCTGTAATGGCATCTACCACCGTAGAATTACTCTGACTCAAACGCTTCCTCTCAGATCTTAGCATCCTTGTCGCTCAACCTTTACTGTTTATTGCTTTATTGCGATAATCAAGCGGCCCTCCTTATATAACAACAAATCCAATCTTTCGCAAAAGGAAAAAACATATAGCCATTGACTGTCACTTCCTACACGAACATGTTCATTCCCTTCATACCCAACTTCATATTGGGAGGTGGGGGAGGGGGGTTATTAACATAACAAGAATCGGTTACGGGATTCCCGGGAAGACAAGCTGGCAACCCACAGTTGTAAGTTGTAACCAAGTGGACACGTGGCCAATTCATTGGGCCCACCTGACCACTTGATCCAAGTGGGCTAAAGCCGTGTATATATGCGTGTCACATTGAATTTAATTTACAACAACATTGGTATTTCTCTCGTTAGCGTCGCCTTATTGCATTCCCATTCCTTTGTGCCAAGTTCATAGCACTTTCCTTTCTTGCGATAAACCTATTTTTACAGAGACCAATATTTTACGATTTACCGCAACACATTGCTGATCAGAAATATATCGTCAATATAAAGTATAACAGATGTTCCTGATGTGCGGCTGGATGAAGGTACCAGCAGATCCGAACTCATGAAAATGATCTATACCACGAACCACGCAGTCACGCTGCTTCCTTTCGTCATGTGCATCCTATCCCTCCTTATGATGGCCCCTGATCTTCGAAGATCCACTCCCACTGCTACGGTCCCCGGTCGAACCTCTACGGGCTGTCATCCAGCCACGTCACACCATGACCATGGGTTAGCCTAGCCCCGTCGATCCTCTGAAGGACGCAGTTAGATGATCCTTTCAGTACGAATTTTTGATAGTCAACCATTTCAACTGTCATGATGGAACACAAGCTAGACCTACTGATAAGTTTATTTGGACACGATGCATTGTATAAAGCCCCTAAAACCCCGCAGCCGCAAGCCAGAAGGAAGGTGATCCGTCCAGACTCCAGATTTATCAGAAGCAAAACAGATTTGGAGCTTCACAACAATGGCTGCCGCTTCATCCTCTTCTTCTGTGGTATTTTGGGGTTCAGCGGCTTCCCGTCACAGTGACCGCCTCTTTGTCGGTCGTCTCGCTCCCCCCAGCCCTTATGTGGTTGTGCCACGTGCCCCGTTCAATTGCTCCACTCTCGTCTTTTCTCGGCGTCGTCGAAATAGCAGCTCTGCAGTAACATCCTCGACGACGGAGAAGATGAAGAAGAAGAATAAGAAGGTACACACTTCTTCATTCATCTTCTTCTACGTTTACCTCTATTTTAATTTATTTCAGGTTCGTTTGTTTAGGAGTTGTTAGGAACTGGGTTTATATATGTCTGGAAGTAAATTGATTTTTGTAAATTTCATCTGGGTTGGTGTTCTAGAGCTCTTGAAGGGATGAACTTTGTAATTTCGTTTAATATCCTTTTTTTTTTTAATTTAACTCATTGGAGGCTAATAAAGTATATGCTCTCCAGTTGCTAATACCTGCTTCGTTTACTTATTTATACATTGAAGCTAATGAGTCTATAAATTTGTTCTAGCTGGTTTTAATTTCTCCAAGTCTACGTTTAACTTTTTTAGGCTATTTGTTCTTCTTTTGTTAGCTCTATACACACATGCCAAATAGATTTTCCAACCTAGTGATTTGTTGAGTACCAGAAATTACTTTCATATACTTGGAAGTTCATAAATTCTTCTCCCGTAACTGGCTTTTTTCTTTCTTTTTTTTTCAATGAAATTTCAGTTTGATACTTTGAGTTTTTGAACATTTACTTTTCCGTCACTTCCTTCTCCACTTTCTAGTTTCAACTTAACTATAGAATCGTTTCTCTTATGCATGAGTTGATCATATAAACTGATCTGATTCATACTCCAGTTACTGTATCATCTATATGGATTTGATGTTCTGTTGATCCTCTATATGATGAGGCTATTATCTTTATTCTAGTTTTACATTTATCTCCTAGTTTTGTAAACTTAAAACTACAATAAACTTATAGGTTATATTATATATATGTTATTGATAAAAACTGATAATATAGAAAATGTTTCTACTTTGGAGCAATAACTCCTATTATGAAGCATGTAATTATTAGATGCATTGTAGTTGTGAGGGAAGAATCACAAAGTAAGTGAAATTGAGGAGACGTCTAAATCCAAAATGTTGTGTTGAATCACTCCATACTCATATTTCTCAACCCTTTTCTTCTTTGTACCATTTCTTTTCTGATTGTACCTGCCTTATGATTAAAGAGGACATGAATAGTTTCTTGGTCTAACCCATGAAATAAAATGTAATTTGGTGTGACTCTCCAACTTCATAACTTTCATAGGACAACCAATTTAACTCTACTTGGCTAAATCCCAGAAATTTAATGTGTCTCCCATTGTTGATCGTATATAACAATCAAACAAATTATCTAAAAAGAGAACATACAAAAAAGATGATGCACACTATGGACATCAGTCATAACAAACCAAGAGTCCATCACATATCATACATTCATGTTTTCTATACATCAAGGTATGGAAATGAGTATATTGCAATTTGCATACACCCTTTCCTGTTGATCCTTGACCTTGCTAACCCATCAGGAATGACATTTGGATCATTGGGATCCATCTATGGATAGTCATGCTCATGCATAGGAATGCGTATTATCTTTAAAATTGGAATTCTGAGCTTTCTTCTTTAGAACTAATTATACAATTCGGAGCTCATCATCATAAGATCATTGGTTTCAAAAGCAGAAGTTGCACTATCATCCATCAATTGCAAGCATGGTTCTCCGATAATACAACAACCACTCTCTAAAGTCGCCCATGAATTGGTACATAGTAGCAGCACCAATTGTGTTCAGATTTGTGACACCAACTGCATCTTCTGAACCATTTTGTACCTAACTTTGTCATCTATTACTTCCTATATCTCTCCATGCAAACTAAGAGCTAGACCAATACTAGTCTCTTATTATTCAGTCATCCTTCTTAGTTTTGAGAACTAGAGGTGTAAATTGGGCCGTGCCACCCACGGCCAAGCACGAACTTGGACTGGCCCGGCATGGCTCGACACGACGGTCCGTGGGCCGTGCTAGGTCCGGTATGATCATGCGGGCTGTGCTGGGCCAGGGTTTTAGGTCCACGGGCCAGCATGGCCCAGCCTGCAGCCCGGCTCAGTCCGGCCTGACACGGCCCATATATATTATTTATATAATATTATATAATAATATATAGTATATAATATATTAATAAAATAAATAATTTTTTAATTTTATTATACTAATTTATTTAATTATTGTATATATAAGCAATTGTATACACAAAATTCATATAAAATTAAAATTTTAAGTTTTTTGTCAATTTTTTTTTAGATAAATAGCTTTGGCCCGATGCACGGCCCGACCTGGCCAAAGGCTTGGCCCACAGGCCAGCTTGGCCCGTGGCACGGTACTGACCCGCACGGGCCTGGGCCGTGAGCCGTGCCGTGCCGACCCCCAAAATTTTCACCGGGGAGGGCGACACAGCCCATAACGGCCCACTAGCCAACACGGCACAGCCCGCACTTTGTGTGGGCCACCTGCGGGCCGTGCCGTGCCGTGCCGGCCCAGCCCACTTTACACCTCTATTGAGAACCATGTAATTATAACCCAGCCCTTCTTTTTGTGTCCCACTATTCTGTGTCTGATTTAGATTGTGTTCCTAAAGTTTCTCAGTTTCATTATTTCAGTTTCTTTTATGCATTGATCTCCGTAGGGTCTATTTGAGACACACGATAATGTCATTCCTGTATTATCAGTAACCTTTAATTATGGTCAGCTATTTGGAGTTCAAAAATATTATCTAATTCAATTTGTGTGCTCCAGTTGATATTACCTGAAAATGATGATGGGGAAGAGGAGGATATAGATGAAGATGCTTTTGAGGCACTCTTTAGACAGCTGGAAGAAGATTTAAAAAATGATGACCTATCTGTGGATGACAGTGATGATGAAATAAGTGAGGAAGACCTTGCTAAGCTTGAACAGGAGCTGGAAGAGGCATTAGGGGATGATGAGCTTTCAGGAATGTTTGACTCAACTACAGATGCTACAAAAAATGATATGGAGTCAGAAGAAGAAGAAGAAGAAGAAGAAGAAGAAGAAGAAGAAGAAGAAGAAGAATTGAAGCTTAAAAATTGGCAACTTAGACGATTGGCTTCTGCGTTAAAGGATGGTCGGCGTAAAACTAGGGTAAGTCTCCTCTTATATTGATATATGTACTCCTAAAGTTGTATATTTTAGTGTGTGGTGTTCATATATAATATGTGGTGCTGCTACAAGTATGTTTTAGTGTATGGTGTTTATATATGTGTTGCTGCCACATGTGGTGGCAACTGAGAACTTGATGGCCTGGAACATTCATACAGTCAAGGAAAAATCCGAGGCATCTTTGAACTAGATAGGGCAACTCTTGTCTCATAAATTGGCTCTGCTAGTAAGGTGCTCATCTCCAAGATGTCTAAGGCTAACACTTGATGCAACCATCCTTTACACAAAACAAATGCATTAATACATGCATATAACACATGCACAGGGGCCATTGCTTAGTGAAATGGTAAAATCTTAGGATGACAACCATCATTAGAACATGGATTCAAGTCTAATAGCAGCCACTTTGTGCAGAAAAATGTCAAAAGGTTAGGTCCATTTCCAGTCTATCCCTCTCAAGACTCCAAATAGCTGGAACCAACATTATGTAATGGCCTTTTAGATTACACATGCACAGTAGATGTATATATCAATTTTTGTTGTTTGGGTACAGCAGGTATAGCATCCCACATATCCCTACTTTTGGCACATGGAAGATGAGATGGCAGCCCAAAGCAGGTGCAATTGTTTCTCCAATCAGTGCCCTCCCATGACTCAACTTTGAGGAAGATAACAGTGAAACACGCAAAAAGAGCCCAACTTTTCTTGCTCGTGTTTTCTTAACATGAATTGAAGAAAACATCCATTATTTGTAGGGTAAGTTCAAGAAATGTTGGGACATGGAACTAACATAAACAAGGCTAATCTAAAAAAAAAATACATCAAATGGGCAACCATGTTATCCAGACATGGCATGGATAGGTAACTTAATCTGAAAATGTATGGAGTCCATTTTTAAGTATCTTGGTGACATAATGGCCAGTATCAGTATGGATTTTCTAGATAGTATTCCATGCGGTAGAATTTTCATGTTATATGATAAATGAACCAAATAAGCAGGTAGTGATGAACCAAATCAGCAGATAATGCCATAGTCTACTGACCCAATGCATGTATAGAATGCAGCAACTATACTACAGATTTGTTAAACAGTGTGTAGTTTTTTTTTTCTGATAAATATTAATTTTATTCAATGAAAAGAGAAGAAAGGGAGAGATTCCTTCTCAAGTTAGAAGATTACAAAGGACCCCAATAAACAGGCCCCAATGAAGGACTAGCAGATCATAACTCTTTGAACTTAATTAAGTATATTATTTTTGTAAATAGAAAATATTCATTAAATGAAAAAGAAAAAAATTATATGCTCTGATGGTAAGGCATCACTAACAAGAAATACAACGTCCCACAACATAACCCTCCCAAAGGTACATCACCACACCACCATCATAAAACTTATTAATCAATAGAACTCTAATCTATCAATCCTATATATATACACACACACACACACACACACACACACACACACACACCACATAATCAAAGCCTCATCCTGCAGACCTCCTCTATAAGATTAGTAGAATTTGAAGTATAGGCTTAATTAGCTTGTATGTGGAAGCCTCATGTTCCACAATTTGTTGTTTAAAACATGATGAGTTAATAAATATTAAATCCATTCCTTGCTCATAGATTCAGATTCATGGTCGTGTGATCCCATTAACACCTGTCTTTTTCACAGATTAAGAGTCTTGCTGCTGAGCTTTGTCTTGATAGGGCTGTGGTCCTCGAATTGCTTCGCGATCCTCCTCCAAATCTTCTATTGATGTGTGCTTCTCTGCCAGATAAAGTTGTGCCAACTTCATTACCTGAAACTAAACCCATGGATCCTTCTGAAGGAACAGAAATTGATGCTGCAGAACCTGAGCCAAAGGTGAAAATGCCAGTCCACGTCATGCAAACCAGATGGTCTATGCAGAAGAGGCTGAAGAAAGTGCAAATTGAAACTCTTGAAAGAGTTTATAGTCGCACAAAGCGCCCCACTGTAAGTTAATTTATCCAGTTTCATATGCAATCTTTGCACTAGGCAAAATATGACATCAGATAACCAGAAAACTACTATTTTTTATCAGATAATTACTTATTCAGATGAACTTGTAGATTCTCTGAGCTATTTACTGAAGTAGTACATAACAATAAAATTATGGCTCTTATATTGGTCATAAAAGTGTCAAATTTGTTGAAATGCATGTTTTATGTATTTAGCTACCTACACAAACACATGCACACATGAACGTTTTTAGTGTATTCTGATTTATGATGGACACAAGGTTCAAAATATCGATACGGCCGATATGCCGGTAGGGGTGTATCGGCCTGTATCGAAGCTGATTTCTCATATTTTTTTTAGTTAGTTTTTTTTTTTTTTTTTTTTAAACCTGGTTCAGAGGGGTCGGTTTAAGGCCTGTCTACCCCCTGAACTGGGTTAAACCCCGAAACACCCCCTGTAGGGGCGTATTGGGAAGCCCCCGATACGATATATCGGCAGATACGACCCAATACTTTCGAAATTTCAAACCTTGGATGGACATGATTATCTTCCATTGTAACAAATTAAAATATGAATTGACTTTACTGTGTTCATACCATATTGTTGATAATTGCTGTTGTACTGATTTTTATGAGTTTTTACATTGAAAGCCTATTTGAACATTGTCATGGCCTATAAACTCAAAATTTTAGGTAAGTGTTAGCATTTTGGATTTTCTATGGTTGTCCATCCTTTCCAAAGAGGTCTATTCTAGGGTTCGACTATGATACCAGAAATTCTTGTAACTGATTAACTGGTATCATAAAGTGGTAACAAATCAGGTTTTATTTATCAAAATTCATGGGGGGGGGGAGGGGTTGCTCAAAGCCCTTCTACTATCTTTCTGACAGCATGGATTTTCCTTCTGTTCTATTACGTGACAGAGGATCCTCAAGTTTGAAATTAAAATCCAAACTTCTTGCATAGAAGCTTTGTGATTGATCCAGGCTTCTCGGGTGAGTCTGTATGGCCGATGGCTTTCATACATTTCACATGCATACTATCAACTCAGTTCATACCTTCTGCTAAACTTATAGTCATATCCATATGCATATAATTCATATACCAAGTACTTCACATGTATCACATGCATGCATCTATGATGCTAATGTATGGGCATTAATTCATGTGTTGTTTTGTGCAATGATAACATTGCAGAATGCAATGATCAGCAGCATAGTACATGTCACCAATCTGCCACGCCGAAGAGTATTGCAATGGTTTGAAGACAAACGTGCAGAAGATGGGGTTCCTGATCATCGCCTTCCTTACCAGCGGTCAGCTGCTGATACTGTCTTTACCAGTTAAAGTCAGTTACATCCGTTTGGTTCCAATGTATATCCTTCTTTCTTTGGTAAGTTGTCTCACTGTATCTTTGATACCATTAATCAGTGCACTTTTTAACACTAAGGATGCTTTTGAATTTTACAAAGGACATAGATTGAACAGAGTGGAATGGTTTCATGTGGCCAATCCCATATACAGTCGGGACAAAGGCTTATTTGAGTTGAGTTGGATGCTTGAATTTTGACGGTTCCAATCAAAAATAAAAAAATTAGTCACAGATAAGAATTACAAAAGTTGGACATCAAAATTATACATTTAGGCTCAGTTTGGAAGGAGTATAAATACAAATATGTAGAAGCCTTGTATTTTGTATTATTTTGCATGTATTTGTATTGCACATATTTGTATTTGTACTCCTTCCAAACTGACCATAGTTTCAGATAATGACACCATAGTTTTCAAGGCGCCAATGTGAGGCTAGGCGACAGGGGGGCGCCTTGTCACCTAGTTGCCTAGGTGGGCGCCTAGGCAATGGATTTTTTTTTATGTAGAAAACATAGATTCTAGGGTAGTTCCCTAGGGGCTGAACCCTTATTTTTGTTATAGGAAAAAAAGTAAGTAGTAGTAGTAACAGAGAGATGAGCCACAAAGGGTGCCTTGTCGCCTAGGGGCGCCCAAACAACTATGAATGATACTGACTTGCAACACTTAAAAGTCAGAAATTTGGTGCTGTAATACTGTCCATAAAAAAAATTAACATCATAGAAAACTTTGTGATTCACCTTTGTAATACAATGTTACGAGGAAATTGTGGAAACTGTCACCAGTAACCTTACCCTAAGCGGTGGGATGAGCTATCAATCAGTAACACGAAGTCAGTTCAGCTATTTGTTGTTAATACGGAAACTGTGGGTCTGAATCGTCTGATATCATCAAGAAGAAATTTTCATAAATTCTTATTTGATGACCGTGACATTGGTCTAAAGTCTATTCGTCGAAAAGGAAGCTAAGGCTGCATTTGGCATTCCTTTTTAAAGATTTATCTCCTTTCTGCAGTTAAAATGCTCCTATGAATACTGATTTTTTTACAGTAAAAAGAAGATAAGTCAGGAATGCCAAATGCAGCCTAAATATCTCTTATTTGACTTTTCTTTTTCTTGGTTTATAGAGAACTGACTATTGGACTACTGGAGCAACGATCTTTCATCATGAAGCTAGTGCCACGGTCTGGGTTAACAATAAGATAATCGCCTCTAGATTTGGATCACTATTTCTCTTGTAATGGTTCATATAATATTTCTGTAACTGTATTGATTTAGGGGGTTTCTATATGTTTAAACATTAGAACCCCTTCTAACATATTTATCTTTGAAATACTGGATTGAAAAAATTGAAAAAAAAATTGAATATTGCTTGAAAATATATGTGATTTCATGTGTGTTGCAAGTACTGATAACTAGACCTGTTCATGGGTTAGGCTTGGGTTTAGCTTTTGCCAAAATTTGAATAGTCTTGGTATAGAGCTCGAGCCTGAACTAGTATAAAGTCGAGCCTAAATTTTACGATATGTAGTAATGTAAAACATGGGAAAATTCCTGATTAGTACCTGTACTTTGGGTCTAGTGCCACTTTGGCCCCCGAACTTTAAAATGTGACAATTCAGTGCCCGAGCAGACGAATTTTAAAAATATGACAATCTATTACTTGTCATTAACCAGTTGTTTAATCAGTCGTTAAGTGGCAATTTAAAAGACACAAATGCCCTTCAAGTGTCATCTAATATTTTTTATCAGCCATCCAAACGTTGACAAAAAATGAACAGTTCCAAATCCCTGCCTCTTCTATTCAAGAAAGTTAGGGTCACTAGAATGTCCACTTTCTTGAATAGAAAAAGGCAAGGATTGGGACTGTTTATTTTTTATCAATGTTTGGATGGTTGATAAAGAAAATTAGATGACACTTGAAGGACATTTGTGTTTTTTCAAATGCTACTTAATGGCTGATTAACGGTAGATATTAAATTGACACGCTTTGAAAGTTGGATATTGAATTGTCGCGTTTTAAAGTTGGGCACTAGGCCTAAAGAATATGGTACTAATCGGGAATTTTCGCAAAAAAAAGGAAGCAAAACAATTAAAGGCTCTGTCTGTTTCACCATAAAATGGGTGAAAAGTTTTTCATGCTGAAATATTTGAGCCACTTTTTTAGGTAATAATATTAAAAGTGATGATTGTGAAATGATAAAAGATGAACTCTTCTGTTCTTTTAGAGACTTCCAACTGCTGGGCCAAAGTCAATAAAGGCAATCATGTTTGGGTTTAGTTGTTTCGAGAATTGAAGGTGTGGTCCTCCTGGTCCGTGACTCTCTCTGTGGATGAAATTTTCAAATCTCTCATTTTTCAAAGCCATGACTTTGGTTTACCATGAAATACGAGTAAGGTTGCTATGTTTTGAAGAAAACTCAGGTTATTTGGTATTTGCAAGCAGTCAATTTTTCTTAAGAGTTTCGGGTCTATCTGGGAAAAGGGAAAAATAATAAAGTTAAAAAAATCATTTGAAAGGGCTTGTATCAATGATTCTAACTTGAGTAATCAATTTGTATTATAAATGTAAGAATCATAGTTTCATGGGCTAAAGTCTTCTTAACAAAATAACAGAAGAATGCTATCTGAAAGCCTGCACATGATACCAGAAATAAAATAAAATAGTAAAAAGAATGACTGTAAAAATACACCATACATCTGCTACATCATTTCAAATGGGTCTTGCTTGAAAAATTTAAATATTAAAATTAAATTAAGTGCTTTGAAATATTATTTCTCTTGTATGAAACTATGAATGATGAATCATATACCACACATGTGGTACATCGTGTCATTACAGATGTAATCTTATATCTGCCAGTCTAGTTGTCTTACTCATAATATTCCAGATGTGTGGTATAGGATGCCTTTGTAATTTGTAGAGGGTACAATGTCACATCGGAGAGAGAGAGAGAGAGGGTGCATGATCATATGCACGAGCAAGAAAAATAATCTATGCATTTAATTTTGATGATTGGATGCGGATTTTAAATGCAAATTACAAAGGTTCGTTTGTTCATGTTTATGGGTTAATTAATTCACCAAGATTACTCAGAAATTTCGGCAACTACCCAGAGCTTTTCCATCAAATCAAACCAAGGGAGCTTTGGGTGATGACTCAACCCTGCCGAGTCAGCCTTCAATGGACAAAGAACCAGTCAAAGTTCATGGGCAAGAAGCTGTAGTAGTAGTAGACAAGACAACTTAGTAGTATAGCAAAACTATATATAATAAACTAATTAATACATTATTAGCTATAAAATAATAAAACAAATATTAATTTTAATTTTTTTTTTTAATTTGTCTTTCAACAGACATGCTTCCTGCCTTCCTCTTCCTTGCTTTTCATTAACTCCTTCACTTTTTTCCCTTTATTTCTTTTCTGATTTCTTCCTTAACCATACGGGTGGCATACTCTTTATTCTTCATTTGTCATCCTCTCTCCTCATCTCTCTATATATAGTCCAAGCCTAACAATAAGCATGTGGATTTAGAGTTCATATTTTCAGCATAGAAGTCTCTAGATCATACCCCAGAAACAGAGAGAGAGAGAGAGAGAGAGGCCATGGCTGGTCTGCAAAGGTCTTCAATTTCTTTCAGAAGACAAGGCTCATCAGGCTTAGTATGGGAAGACAGGTTCTTGTCAGGAGAATTAGATCAAATGAAGCAGAAGGAAGAAGGCGAACAAGAGGGTGCAGAAGTGAGAGAGCTAACCAAAAGCAAGAGTGTCGGATCAGCAGGAATTATGGAGCGCAGCAGGTCTAATGGAGGACGGGGTTATCGGACAGGAAAGGTGTCACCAGCCATCGACCCACCTTCTCCTAAGGTCTCTGCCTGCGGATTCTGTGACGCTTTCAAAAAACCAAAGAGTACCCGTCGACCCAAATCGGGTAAGCGCAAGTCCTAGTGTTCATCCATGTTTTCCGGTGACAGTCAATGTTCTCCGGTGATCATTTCCAAATTGGCTGAACATGAATATATGTCTCCTTTTCTTCTTGTTTCTAGTTAATCGTTCATCAAATGAGATGAAACAGAGAGTTCTTATCAACCATATGCATATATAAATTTCTTTCTCTGTCCTTGCTCTCTTCTTTTGAGCTTCTTAGAGATGATTTTCCTCCAGTCTGGTTGCATGTAATTCTTGTCAATATTTATGTTTTGTTTTTGGTTCTTCAACAAGGATTTCCATGTGTGAAGAACTCTCAATTCAGATCTCTCTCTCTCTCTCTACTTTTGGTGGGTTTTGACCGAATAAGTAGGTAACCACCAGCAGATGTTAGATTTTGTACAGTTGCAACTGTGAAACTTTTAGACATTATCAAAGGATAAGTTTGATAAGCACCATTGTTATAAGTTTGATAAGCACCATTGTTATTAATTATTAAGATTATAAATTAGAATAAATAAGTAGATTAGCTATGGTGATTGTTTGGTGGTATCAAATCACCTTTTATATCTCCATCCATTTTCCTCCATTTGATAAAACGCAGCACTCTTTTGTCAGCCAGCTACAATGTGATGTCTTGAGTCTCTGTAATTCCCCAACTCATCAACTCTGCCCATCCAACCCTTTGATGGGTATTATCTTAAAAACAAATATCAATTGAAGAATCTCAACCATTTGATGTTGGGACCAAATAATTTGGTTTATATTGCCAGTGGTTGGGCTGGGAGATGGGAGTGGCCCACGGTTTGCTCATGGGTTGATCATCCATCAACAGAAGAAGACTAAGGATTTCGAAAGGTCCAATCCACCAATTAGGTGGCCAATGGCCGACTGAAATTTCTAGGAGTTTAGGGTCAATGGTTTCATCATTTTTCCTCATTAAAACAATATTTTATTTATTTTGAATGCAAGCTTGTGGTCTCATGGCCTCATGGGCTGTAATTAATAAACAATTGATTATAATATTCAAGTTGGGGACATAAACCCTAAACCGGTCTATCTATCATTCTCAATTCCTCAAGAAAAGGGGACATTCATGAGTTTCGTCAACTCAGGTTGGCTATGGATCGGGTCAACTTGTCTTGACACCCAGAAGAATTGAGCGCAAGCTGCGCAACCATGAACCATGTATGTTGTAATGTTGTATGGTACTGTCCAATGTCCATGTATTGGGGGTTCGGGTCGGACCCGGGTTGATACAGAAAGAAGAACAAAAGGTTATTTATTGGGAGGTCATCAACTTGAAATGAACCCGTGATGTACGTACCTTTAGTCCACTACTTGGGGCTTCTTTAGGGGGTTGCAACAGCTCATTGTCGATGGCAGTTGTTGTTGCTATTATGGCTAAGAGCTGGAAAAAAAAAGGGTCCATCCAGCTGAGCATGGAACCAGCTTTATTTACTATTTTCACAGTAGCCAAATCCGATCCGAATGACTGTTACGTAGACCACCCTTTATGACTCCTTATCCTTAGACTGGTGTTTGATTACCGCTGAAATAAATAATCACTGAATTGCTGAATGAAGTGTTTTTAACTTTGACACGTTTCTGTAACCAAAAGAAAGAAAAAGAAAAAAAAAACCCAAAATGGAAAAGATTCGTTTCATTTCATAACACTATTTCTGCAACTATCCAAATTCCACTGTTTGTTCTGTAGTGCATCGTCATCGTCATCTAAGCGTTATCTGATTACATGGGTTCGGCTTTCTGTTTCGCCATTTCATTCTGTTTAATGCATATCCATTGTAAGTCTATCATGGCCTTTTTTATGAGATCATGTGCGATGTTCGTCACAAATGAGCCCAACTCGTTTATATGGAACACTTGTGATTGATTGCATAGACTTTTACATAAACAAAGCGAGAGTAACAGATCCCAAATCCCTTATCAATCGTCACTGTGATGGCAGAATTCAAAGTAATGATTTCAAAGCCATAAAAAATGGGGGGCCTAATCAATTTATAACCCCATGGAATCAGAGTGGAACAAAGAGAAAACCTCAGCTACTTGGCCAAATTCAAGGTAGATAAGGGATAAACAGAAGGATTGTCGAATAGCTTTCACTTTTGTGTCGTTTTCAGACCCAATTGATCCCCAACTAAAAGTCTAAAACTACTGAAACTGACAGGCTTATTATCTCTATGATATGATTTAATTGTATATCAAAATTTCTATTGGATGATTGAGGGGGAGTTTATCAGGTGGTGAGCTCCCACCTTATTGCCCATGGAACATGTACATGACTGCATGCTAGTACAAAGGATGGCGAGCTGACCCTAATTAAGTTAGGGTCCATGCCAAGGATGTCCTCTTCTAAGAAAGAAGAGTAGTACTTCAAATTCAATGATTTTATTTTTTGATAGGGAGACTTCAATAAATCAGGAATGGGTAAACAATCCCCAAACAAAATAAGAATCATTTAATAAATCAGGAATGGGTAACCAAATGGTCTTAGGGAGGAGCAGTCGGCATTAAAACTTTTAACAAATCCCTTTTTTACACTTAAGTTGGTTGTGCCACCCACCCGTTCACAGTATAGCAGATATTCAGTTAAGAGGCAAGGGATCAGAGATGTAAGTCTGGTACCTAATTTGAAGAATTAATGCTGGTCCCTTCAAATGCTCAACCTGAGCCCAGCCAAATTAATTACATCCCTATTTCCACAAGGGAATGAGTTTATTGTGAAGCCCCCAAGTATTCTGTGGTGTGGATTCTTATATCCCAAGACATTGTCCCCTGGTGAATCCTATAATTGGCTTTATTCAAGGTGATATTAGCTGTCCAGAGTTTCATTTTTTCTGGTTTAGACCAACATTTTCCATGAACAGAAACAGAAGGTGGTGAGAGCCGAGCGGAACATGTGGGGTGCTGTTGGGCTGGGCTCCAATATAACATGAAAGATTCTTGGATCATGTAAGCTTCTCCAAGCGACTGACTAGTGGTAACAGACTTAGGCCATGTTTGGAGTGCTTAAGTTAAAAATAAGTATTTATTGAATAAGCACTTATTTGTGTTTAACATCCAACTTATTTTTAACTTCTGAAACTTCCAAATCTAATTAATTTATCATCATCTAAGCCTTATCTTAACTATACGGGTCAACTACATGAATTCTGTTTGGCTTTTGTTTAATGTCATATCCATTATTAAACCATGCATTTAAATCATTTCTTACTACCCATTCATCTCCTTTTTGTTTATTCGACCTTTTTGCTTATTCAATGGTCGTCAACTAATTTCGTTTTAAGCTACAATGTCTCATAGTTTTGTCACTGACCACTTGCCCCTCCCTTCAAGCTAGTATCACATGATGGTGTGACACAACTCATAAAAATAATTGTGCTTTCTCATGTGGAGGGCCTCGTTATCTAATCCTCCACGTTTTCAAGTATACTGTAATGCGCCTTTGGAAAAAGAACCCTAAGCCACTAGGAGTACTTGTTTCAACCAGAAGAAGGTTCCCACTAACTCTTGTAGATGGATATCTGATGATCAAGCTTCCATTAGCTTGTTCAAAGGACAGTATCAGGTGGTTGCTTAATTGCATCCATTATAATCCATTTTTCTGTTACTAAAACACCAAGGAGATTGTGGCACATTCATCAAGATTTTTGATGGAGGCCTTTAAGAGCCTAGAGGCTGTAACCTAGAGTTCCTCAAAGAAAAAGAGAAAGGAAGAGGGGAGTATGACCATTTGACATTTCTTCTCTACTTCAAAGTTTGAACTCTCTTCATCCCAATTCCCAGACTCTCCATTATAACATCAAATGATGTGAGAACACTAATAAAAATAAATTTGGGTAAATGAGAGATGCATTAAAAGCCAACTTTCTTAGAATGTGGGTCTCTTAAAGGGATCAGTTTTTATGGGGCAGGGAGTAGTATCTCTACAAAAGACTAATTCAACAGCCAGCATTTAATTCAAAAGCAATTAAAAGTAAAAGATAGAAGCGCTTCTACTAGCGCTTCCAGTCATTCTCTTTAATGAATGGACCAGTGTTCTGCTTCATAGGACCTTTTCAAGTATGGCGTTCAAAGGCCACAAAATAAAATTCCCTTCATTAGAAAACAGTGAAGCGTGCCTATAATAATCACTAACGGTTTGCAAAATGAAAACAGTACCAGTTTTTTGCTTTTTTTAGAGCCTGACAAGTTTAAATGCCCGTTTGGGAGGGTGAAGCACAGTGGCTTCAGGCTTTCTGAGTCACCCCCACATGGTCAGCCTATAAGCTATGTTTAGCGAAAAAAATCTGGAGAACCCAAATCAGTTGTCAGCCATTCATTTGAAGGGCTATTAGCTTCAACCTATAGTGTTTCAAAGAAGCTGAACCAGCTTAGCTGAATCTTCAGCTCATCCCTCCCAAAGAGGTCCTAAGCCATAAAGTGATATATTAGATGATCATAGAAAACTATAAATCTAAAAACAGCCATAACCCAATGATAAGTCCGGCTATCTGGAGTCTTGGGAGGGGTGAACTGGATACTGACCTAACTAACCGGGATAGACTTGAACTCACATTCTCATGCTTGTTAACCAGGATACTGGCCTCACTAACCAGGACAAGTATGAAAACATGGGTTCAAGTCTGAGAGTGACCACTCTGAAAAAAAAAAGAAAAGGTTAGGTCAATATCCACACCTCTCAAGACCCCAGATAATTGGGACCAACATCAAGTAGTGGCCATGAAGCAAAAAGAAGGAAAGAAAGAAAACATTGTGTAATGGCATTTGTCCATTCTTATCCTAATGCTGAGTAGCTTTCCAGAGAAGACCACTTTAGCCTGAGTACACTTTCTACCTGCAAAGGTCAATAGTCTTCAGACTTTCCATTAGAGATTCAATCAATAAAACTTTTTAGCTCCTTCACGAGCTTGCATCATGCACTTCTGTTGGGGTTTATGATCAACTTGTTATGGCAGACAACGTCAAATATGAAGTTAATGTCCTATTGGGATTATTCATCACTCTACTGTATCATATGGGGTGCTTGGCTTCTTCTGCAACATGGCTTCTTATTGTTGTTGTAGCTGTTGATATGTGATCAGCTTGCTATGATGGATGACGTCAAACATACATAACATCCTTTTGGTAGAACTGGTTGTTTGGACCTCCCTTTGTCACATTCAAGGAAATTTATCTTAGCGGTTTGGCGAATCTGAAATCTTCTATAATCTTTCTTTCCAAAGTACTTGCTAACTGAACAAACACTCCATATTTCTTATATAATACTGTACCCATAAGCAAATGTAGACAGTTATTCAAATGGGCCTACTTCCCAATGTTTGCATTCTTATTGAGGAGTACAGCAACATTGTCAAAATAATTATAGTTATAGATTCTCTGAGGTTTGTAGTATACCATAGGATGGGAGAGTCTGGCATGAAAAAGAACTAAGTTTTAAGAATCCATGATTGGCTTCTAATCATTTGAAGCATTGCCTCTAGCAATCCATGCTGAAAAATGCATGATACATTTTTAGCGAATCCCATAAATCCTGCAAACAGGGGTAATATACACACTCATCCAAATCCTGTCAAGTGTCAGCTAGTAGATTCCACTCTTTGTCCAATTTGACACCATATTACCAGCCATACTAAACTTTGAATTTCAAAAGATTTCTGACTAGAAAAAAGGGTAGTAGTGTTACAGTCATCTCTTCAAAGAGGCCAGTGGTACTACTGGAGATATGTCAAATAATTTGACGACGTCTGACTCTTCAAAAATTTCTGACTAGCAAAAAAGAATAGTATCACACAACAATCAGGAAAACAAAGAAATTGAAGATTACCCAACCTGAAAGTAAGAAACCTCTTGATCCACCCTCATTTTTTAAAGTTTATGACAGAAGTTTAAGTGATATGGTAATCTCTTGATCATTCAGTCTGCATCTTGAGTCTTCCCTCCTCAATAGACAAGAAAGCATGTCATGTTGAGTACTTGGAGGATCTCTTCTTACTACTATTTTTTCCTTCAAATTGCTGATAATATCCACTTGTTTAGATATTCTAGGCTGAAACACTTCACAAAATAATATAGAGAGATGGTGTCTTCTCCTGATCACAAACCATGAAAATAAATTTGACCATTTTAAATATGGCTTCATAATTGGGCATCTAAGACATTGAATACAATGCATGTACCAAACTGCATCTTCAGATCATGACCAATAATGGAAAAACCACTGAAAGTGAGTAAGAGAAATGGTTATATGGGTTGGAGTATCTGATACCTCATTCCAATAGTGGGTCCAGACTACTTTGCAACTTTTACTTCTAGAAGCTTAGATGGCATCAATATCTTGCACTTCCTTAAAAGTAACCTATCATGCCCAAGGACAAAGAAACAATATTACCTTTACAATCCAAGTAAATAACATCATTCCCCATAAAACAACCATCGCCTAATGACTGCACTTCCATCAGGAAACCGTCCACTGTACCTTAGAATTTGAGGTTATAATATGGACCCTACAAATTCCACTGATAGTGATCTAACTACAACCAAGCTGTTCAAGCAATTAGTTTCTCTCCCATCAAACTCAGTTTTGCAATCATCTCATTGACACTCCATCTCATTGCATATAGACTCATCAGAGGCCACCAACAACCCTCCAATATTGGGTTCAGCAGGGTAAAGTGTACCAAACAAAAACTCAAATACTTATTTGTAATGACTCAGACATGCATGGGAATATACAGAGCAGGCATAGTGTTTTGAGTCCGGTACTAGCAAATTCACCTTTCAATTCTAAGGTATCATACACAACAGCAAACCTAGGGATCCGAACACCAAAATGTAAACATAACCTTTCATTTTGGATGGAGTGTCTACATGTTTTCTCCTTTACCATTTATAGAAAGATTCAGGATCATGGCATTAAAGGGTATCTTGTGTTTTGCCCTCCTAAACTCTCAAGTTTGGAATGCATATGTATAATGGTTGTCCCCAGAAATTTGAGGGACTCTATAATGCTTTTACATCCTTCTGCATCATACATTCACAATCAATCTTCCTGAGTTCCTGTAGATCCTTTGCAATTTCTTAAGGTCCTAATGACTTTATTTCCTTTGATAATCCATCCAGTATGTGATATATCCTTTCAATTTGAGGGTGCGATCTGGATCCTACAAGAAACTCATGAAGAACTCCATTTACACTAATCCAACTACACCCAGGCTGCTTCTTAATACCTTTCTTACTCATCATCCCCCTCAGTTCAGAAATGGTGTCCCATTGGTGTTCAATCGCATAAACATTTGACAGCATGACATAACCAGCAGAATTACAAGGATCTACTTTAACAAGGCTTCTGGCAACATCTGGAGCCAAGTCTACTCTAGAGTGGAGCAGGCAGCCTGCAAGCAAAGCCCCCCACACCATACCATTAGGCTCGATAGGCATCAAACTGACAACTTTAAGAGCTTCTTCAATATGGCCAACTCGTGCAAGAAGATCAATATAAGAAGCATAGTGTTCTACATTAGGGGTAATGGAATAACGAGGGATCATGTCTAAAAAAATCTGGCGTCCTTCACCTGCTAATCCTGAGTGATTGCATGCACACAATACACTGAGGAAGGTCCCACCGTTGGGATGTACACCAAGCTCTTCCATCATGGAGAAAAGCCTCAATGCCTCTTCTCCTTTGCCATTTATAGCAAGTCCCATGATAATTGCATTAAAAGCAACCACATCTTTGGCAACCATTTGATCAAAAACCTCCTTAGCCTTTCCAAGACTCCCACATTTAGAATACATGTCTATTAAGGCAGTAGCCAGAAATGTATTGGATTCCACAATATCTTTACTTCCATTAGTTTTCATATACTCATGAACCCCACTCCCTAGATCCAAGTCTCCCACTTGAGCGCAAGCAGACAGCACACTAACCATAGTAACATGATTGGGTTTTGGATTGCCACCTGCCACCATTAGTTGAAAAACTGACAAAGCCTCCACTGGAAAGCCATTTTGAACATACCCAGTGATCATAGCATTCCAAGGAAGCACGCTGCTTCTTCGTCCCCTCTCAGTGAGCTTATCGAACAACTCCCTACTCTTCTCGACTTTCCCCCATTTTCCATACAAATAAACGAGAATGGTATTGATTGAATCATGATAACATTCGTTAGTATTACCATCAAAATTACTAGCAAGTTCTAAGAAATTCTTTTCCCATCTCTGAACTTCTTGAGCATCGAGACTGGAACAAGCAGATAGGATGCTCACCATAGTATCATTTTCAGGCCTTATATCTTGTTCAATCATCCGTAAGAAAAGAACCAAAGCTTCCTCCGACCTTCCCAACTGAGCATAGCCAGCAATCAAACAAGTCCAAGAACTAACCACGCCCTTCTCTGGCATTTCATCAAACACTCTACGCCCTGAGACCAAATCTCTAGCACCCTTCTCATAAACGGCAAGGAGGCCATTACAAACAACGGAATCATGATCAAACCCCAGTGTCACAATGTGGGTATGGATTTGCTGGACATGCCGGGCATCGGCGGACTTAAAACAAGCCTTGAGAAGGAACGAAAAAGTGAAGTCATTAGGTGATATTGATCGTACTTTTAAGGATTTAAAGAGGGAGAAAGCATGATCAAAGAGACCATCTTCTGCGAGGCGTCGGATAATGGCATTGAAGGGGAAAATATTGGGTTCGCGGAGTAGGCGGAAAACTTTAAGTGCTACTTGAATTGGGTAGCGACCAATGAGACGGGTGGCAATGAGATCGTCTTGATCAGCACCAAATCGATAGATTCGAGCATGGATTTGAAGAAGGCGAGGCAGAGAAGGGTGGCCTTGGAGAAGGAGAGAGAAGTTGCCGAAGCGAGGGGAGGTTGAAGAACGGGAAAGAAAACGTGAGAAGCTAAGCAAAAATAGATGAGAAGAGAAACGGTTTTTCAACTTGGGAATGGCGGGAGCCACTGACAACATAATTCCAGGTATTACCGGCAAAAAATTTGCTACTTTACTCGACCAATATAAAGGTAGTACACAACCAGACCTTGAATACGGAGTTCACTTCGGCTGTTTTATGACTTTATCAAAACAGCCTGGGCTGAACCTTCTTAAACGGTTCAGCCAGATCTCCAATAGCATCAATTTAGGTGGTGTTTGAAACAGATGCCGTTTCTACATTGCCAGTTTTTTTGGGAAAAATTCACTTTAGTACAATAGTACCCTAAACGGGTGGTATCAAGTTAATACTTGAACTTTCAAATGTGTTACTGCAGTACATAAACTTTCAAAAATTGTCAAGTTGGTCCCTATCGTTAGTCGACTGTTAGTTATTTATTAAAAATGTTAAAACTGCCCTTCAAAAGAAGACATTGAAACCTTGAGTTTGAACTGGTTGAGGTGTTTGAGATTCTAGACTAATGAAGTCATTGTCTTCTACTTTTAAATCTCAAACACATTCTTGTCTAGTTATTTCTTTGTTTTCAGTTATCGTTTCCTTCGATCATATTTCATGTTTTTTTCTCTTTTTTTCTTTGGAGATAATCGGTTCAGTCTCAAGGTAGAAGACAATGAACAATGTTTTCTTTTGAAGGGTAGTTTTTAACATTTTCATAAGATAAATTGACAATTGATTAACGACAGGGACCAACTTGACACATTTTGAAAGTTTAAGTATTGTGATAAAATGTCTAAAAGTTCGAATACTAACTTGACACTACCCCAAAATTCAGAGTATTTAAGTGGAATTTTTTTTTTTTTGGGGGGGGGTGATTTATCGCTCAAGCATGTGCATAAAAATTAACCCCCAAAACCACTATACTCATTTAAAAAATACGGTTTTTTATTCTTTCCAATTTCAAATCTCCATTCACTCCACAGGCCCACACCACATCAATCCAATGTTGAAACATTGTTATGAAATACTGAAAATGCCCCTTTCACCCTATCACTTTCGCCATTGTTTAAAAATACCCAAAACACCCCTCAACTACCCCTAAGTGGTAAGCGGTAAATCCCCCATCTATAATTTTTCTCTCTCCTCCCTATTCCATTTGTTCTAGCCCTTGACCAAACGGACATCCTTCTTCCCTTGCACCGGTGTCCTACTACTATATGTGTAAATTGGGCTGGGCTGCCCGAGGCTTGGCAAGATTTTGGACCGACCTGGCCCAGCACGGCATGAAGGCCCACTAACCATGCCAGGCCCGGCACAGAGGTCCGTGCCATGCTGGATCAGGGGTTCGAGGCCCATGGGCCGATACGGCATGGCACGATCGTGCCACCCGCAGCATGGCCCACCTGGAATATAGCCGT